TTCCATTTCCACCTGCGAGCATCTGGGCCCGGAGGTGGCTGTCCTGCATGAATTGTCATATGTTACCCCTCCTGCTTGGCCTCAGCCTCTGGATCAGGGCAGCAATGGTCTAGAGGCTTCTGGCCCAGTGCTTCTCCCCGGGGGCTTGTTAACCAGGTTGGAAATCGCTGTGTGTATCCGTGTATATCTAGAACACACTCCATCTGCATGCCTCTCTAACAATTATTTCAACTAGTCACCAAATTTCTACTAATTCTGCTTGACTATTTAGAATGGTCCAGCCGAGAGCATTGCCTTTAACATCTCAGGGACCTTCTCCTTAGTCCTCTCGCTTCCATTCCACAGGAATCATCTGGGGATGAAGGACAGATGGGTACTATCCCAGTTTTATGTGAGAGGACAGGCAGAGAAAGAGACTATATAGCACCCCCGGGGATCTCAGCCCAAGCCCCCAGGTCCCTCATACCTTACGCCTGGTGTGCTTTCTGAGCACACCTTCAGGCTCCCTCTGTTCCATCTTATCACCTTCAGGCTTTCCAGATGGTTCCCCAAGCTTTAAGAAGGTCCTGCTGCTATTTTTACTGTTCCTGATCTTCTGGGCCTCCTGGGAGAACGCCAGACAGTCTTCCTGGTGAGCAGCAGCAAGGTGCCTGGAGCCCCCGCGCTGCCGTGCAGAAGTGAGCTGAGCAGGCCTGTTGCCAGGGACTCAAGAAGGGTGGCTGCTGAGGTTGATGAAGAAGCAGGAAGCCCACAGTGGAGCTTTAAGGCCAACTCCCATTGCCAGACCTCGCAGCCCTGCCCTGCCCTGGTCTAGACCAGGTACGGGACCTCTGTTTATCTGGGGCTGCCGAGTCTGTTTCTCCGATGAGGTGGGCCTGAAAGCTGCACAGGGTGGAGGCAGCTCTTCCCAGGAGGAGCCCAAGGATGGAGACAAGTGTTCGTGGAGCATCTGACATTTGCCGCCATTCTCACACCCTGTTAGCATCATTCTAATGGAGGTCAGACCTGCTGCGTAATGTGCCACGTGGTAGGGCCTCAAATTTTGTCCATCCAGTCCTTTGCCACATCACCTCCTCTCCAACACAGCGGGATCTGTGTTCTAACTTTAGTTCTGGCCTTGTACAGGCTGAGAATGAATAAGAAAGAAAGTTTCTTAATCTTCCTCCTACTCAAGAGGTGCAGAGAAGCTCTCCTCAGCTCTGAGGTGCTCATGGAGAGAGATGTCAGTTTTCTTAGAAGCCATAAAATCCAGGCTCCACTTTAGCCTTCATGGATTTTTATCACCCAGCCTAATCCAGGTGTGTTAGTTAGCTTGCTGTTACTATAACAAATACCTGCAAAAATCAACTTACAAATCAAAAAGGTTTCCTTGGGCTCATAGTTTCAGAGGTTTCTGTCCATGATTGATTGGTCCCATAGCTTTGGGACTGTGTCACTACTTCATGCCACATACACACACACACACACACACACACAAAAGCCAAGCAAAACCTCTTACCTCATGGTCAGGAAGCAAAGAGAGACAAGATGGGGCCAGATTATTAATATCACCTTCAGGTCACACTCCCAGTTACCTTAGGACTTCTCATTAGGTCCCAGCTCCTACATGATCCAGCCCCTCCCAGTAGTGCTATACCAGAGATCAGGTTTTAACAGATGGGCCTATTCAAAAAGAGAGTCCCACTTGGCTTCATCTGAGGCAGGTATGGTCTGATGTCAGTTTGCTGGTTGTTTGCCTGTGCTGTAGACTTTGGAGTGTGCTGGATTTCACATCTCTTTATTATTATAGTTAAAAGCTGTTGAACTTATCCATTTGTTCCTAAGGAACTGTAAGCAAAGATGCTTACATTAGCCAGCCAGGCAAACTACATTGGTGGCAGGTGAACGGAGTGTCCTGAGACCCACACAGCCCTGGGCACCACTAGGCAGGGAGACCCATCTGACTTCTCATGTTTACAGTGCTTTTAAGTACAATCTAAGCTCTTGCACAGCCGTGAACAGCACAGTAATGTCGACCTGGACATCTTCCAAATGCCCCTGCAGCTCTCATTTCTCATAACCAATAACTCCAGGTCATTGTGTGTGTGTTCGTTCTTCCTATCTGATGATGGTCATCCTGGTGGAATGGACAGGGTATAAAATGCAAGGCTTCCCCATGCTGTCATATGAAAGAGCAGTGGCCATCAGTGCACAGTGTCCCATTTGGATAACGGGTCTGTGCTGTCATGCTGTCACCCTTAGTGACAGTGTCCAGGCCCACATTACTCTGCTGCCCTTGGCTGAACAAGGGCTTAGACTGTACTGAGAAGCACTGTGAATGTGAGAAGTCAGATGTGTCTCCCTGCCTAGTGATGCCCAGGGCTGTGTAGGTCTCAGGACACCCTGCTTACCTGCCACCGTGCCTCACTTTCAGAAGATTAGGCTGCATCTCAACATTCCTAAGTAATCCAGTGTATTTCTCCCTATCTCTGAATTATTAGACCATTCTGGAGTCTTGTGCTTTCTGTTGCTAGGAATCCAGCTCTAGGTTTTCTGCCCAGTGTTGGGCGAAGCGTTTCTGTTCTTTCGCCACAAATTCAGACTGGTGGAGTCAAGTTCCCTCATCAGGGGAGAGTGAGGTGGGCCTGCCTGATGCAGTCCTTTGTAGAGACTGAAAGAGAGGGTCCTGCCAGGGGCTTGCCACCTGCAGGCTGCCTTTCTCAGCAGCTTAACCTCCTTTAAGAAGGAGGCAAAGAGAAGCCAGCAGCACAGGGAATCATCACTATCTTTATCTCCGTTTTTCTGAGGAAGAAACTGAAACTCCAAACATTAAGTATTTTTGCCCAAAGATTCACATAGCTAGTAAACAGGAGAGGCAGGGTGGACCTCGCTGGCTGCTGGCTGCAGAATCGGGGAGGAGCAAGGTTTCTTTGCTTTCTTTGCTGTGTCTTGGCTTACTCATTAAAAAAGTAATACAGGCACAAGGTTTTAAAAAAATAAAAAATAAAAACACTCACACACAAGAAGTGCCAGAGGCCCCTGTTGGATGCAGTTTGTTGGGGAGCCGCACCCTTCTCGTTGCTAGAGGACCTGCCGGGTAGTAGGAGGTCCCTCATGCAACACTCTCTGCAACAAACAAGGGTGGGACAGAACGTTTCCTCTGTGTTACCCAGTGCCAGGAGCTCTGGGCCGTGAGATGACTAATTTCCTCATCCACACCAAAGCGGGAAAGGAAACCTGAGGAAAAGTACAGTCTTCCAGAAGGACACACATTGCAAAGTGAATCTCCTGAGGCCTAGTCCTGCGTTTCCCTTCTCAGCGAGCAGCATGACCAGCAGGAGGTGTTCTTGGAATAGCACACACACGTTTCTCAGAGATGTTCTTACGTCAGTGCATGGAAACCTCCTCATTTGGTGTATTATTTTTCTTTAAATAGGTGTCTGTGTAAATACAACCTTTGGATGATATGGAGCCCTTTGCTTTATCTTTCCAGTGCTGCTGTGCTATTTCAGATGGTTTCTTTGCATGTGTCCCCTCTTTCTGTGGGGTGCATTATCAGAAGGCATCCATGCACCCAGCATTCTAATCATCACTCCTGAGGACTGGCCCTTCCCTGAGGGAGTATCATACACAGGTCCTCTGTGCTCCTGTACAGGTAGCATCTTCAGCAGGTCGGGTCATCTGGGGACTTGAAGCCATTCTGCCTTGGGTCCATTCAGTATGGGCAAGCAGAGCCAGCTCTGGGCACCAGGGTCATGCATCCCAGCACTGGCGCTTACATAAGATTGCTTTGGGCACAGCTGACAGGAGGTCCCAGGTCAGAGAGTGGCTGCCCCTCCCTTCCCCAGCTTCTCATCATTCATGATGCCCTCACCCCTGCATCTCCCTCCAGCGTGCTGCTTCCTCACTCTACATCCCAGAGAGACTGGCTTTGCCCCCATATGACCCTGTTGTTAGGGGCACCGTGTCCTTCACATATGTCTCTACTTGTCGAGTTCCTATGACATAGTAGTCACTATTTTCAACCAATAAGCACAGAGTCCCTGGCAAGGATGTTGGACTGTGTCAGGTGATGCTCCGGATGCCTATGGGTCCTTGGTGGCGTCCTCCACCTCACAGCCTCAGCATTTTGTCATTGAGTTAAAACAAGGTCATACTAGGTAGCTACAAAATTTCGGTATATCCTTACCAAGTCTTGGGAACTGGCCAGCTGGTGCAGGTGGGTGAGGCTGTGCCTTCAAGGGCAGATTGTGATAGCCCTTGGGGCATTACTGATGTGACGATAGTGAATAGCCACCCCTGTGGGCCAGTGTGTTACTGTGTTAGTAAGCTTTTTTGTCATTGTGACCAAAATGCCTAAAAAAAAGAACGTAGAGGAAGAAAGGTTTATTTGGGGCTCATATATTTTATTTATTTGGGGGTTTCAGAGTCTATGGTTGGCTAACGCCATTGCTTTGGGCCTGAGGTGAGGCCAAACAGCATGGCAGAAGGGCAGTGGTAGAGGAAAGGGGCTCATCTTGTAGTGGCTGGGAAGCAGAGAGAGAAAGGATTAGGGGCAGCAGGGAGGGTGTACCCTTCCAGGACACACCCACAGTGACCCACCTCCTCCAGCCATGCCCACCTGCCTACAGTTGCCACCCATCCAAATTAGGACAGACCGATGTTACAGTTCTCATAAAGGAATCATTTTGCCTCTGAATATTCCTTCACTAACACAGGAGCTTTTAGGGGACACCTCATGTTCAAACCACAGTAGGTGCTGTGTGCACTGCAGATGTCACCTCTTGCCCCTCAGCCCTGCATGGGAGATGCTGCTGTTGTCCCCCTTTGTGGTTGAGGAAGCTGGTAATGAGACAAATCAAGACCTGGCTCAGGGTGTGTCCAACTGGCTCCCAACTCTCCTGTTCACTCTTCTTTCACAGCATGGTGGGTCCCTCTCATCTTCCAGATGGCTTGGCAGAGGTGGAGATGCCCAGTTGCATCCTTGGTCCCTTGGCTGATGGCTGTGTTTTCATTTTTAGGACTTCTGTCACGGGCAGGTGATGTGGCCGCCCCTCAGTGCCCTACAAGTGAAGCTTGCTGAGCCTGGGCAGTCCTGCAAGCAGGTGTGCCAGGAGAACCAGCTTATCTGTGAGCCGTCATTCTTCCAGCACCTCAACAAGGACAAGGACCTACTGAAGTAAGCGCCTTGGGATGGGGAGAGAGAACGGAAGGGGGTCAACTCAGCCTCTGTGAGCTTTCTGGGTTAGAGTCAGATTGAGAGGTGCTCATTCTCAGTTTCCAGGCTGTGGGCTTTAGGGGAAAGATAGGGGGTAAAGGCAGCAGTTTGCAGCTGGACCCCCACATTTTCAGTGTTCAGTAAGATGAAGTCACCTGGTATACTTGGGATCTGAGTAGGGGCCTTGTATTTGCATAAATAATGCCACATCTGGCCTTGGAGATCATGGGAGATGTTGGTTTTGCTAATGCCATACCCATGAACAGGGAGTGGAGGTGGCACAGAATCATAGCCATGGATGGACCCACCCCTGAGACCTCTGGCAGCAGCCAGATCCCTAGATGGCCCCCGGCAGAGTCTGAGCAGGATAGGAAGGAGGTGGCATCTTCAACTTTGGAATCAGAAAGGAATGAGAAATGGGGAGAAGCAGCTGGCACAAAATTGCCCACAACAGATTCCAAGTGCCACCTTCCCCTCTTCTGGTCCCCTCCCCTCTCCAACTTTCCTCGGGAACCTTTGGTGCATCATGTATCAGGCCTCAGCAGACCTGACTGCTGGGTCCCTCCCCAGAACATAGAGGCAGGCCCGGGAATGTTGGCCAGGGCTGTATCTGGGGGGGCCTTTATGTTCCTGGAATTTCTTGCCTCATACTTGCAGTTTGTTTAGTGATGCCATTCATTTCCCTTTGCATCAGCATTTGAGTTTGACATCTACAGTTCCAAGATTTCCACATGAGGTTTCTTCTGCCTTCTGCCTCCTGATCCCTCTCAGTACGAATTCTGCTCTCCTAAATTTTATCACTCCCCACCCTCGGTCCACCATCTAGTCTCCCACCTTAATTTCCCTGATAAGGGATTTTCTCCAAGATACATGCCTATAAACAATAAGGACTGCTGCCTTAACTGTGAAGATTCAGTCCAATGGTTGTGCTGTCCTAGTCCTGAAGGAGATGTTTCAGGAATAGAGTGGTCTTGGGGATCAGGACTCAGCTATCCCCCATTCTGGCTTCATACCCGGCCACTGTGGTTATTGTTCATGGTGGTCTGAGCTGGCCTGCTCCCTCCTGTGAGTCTTGCTATCCTGAAACATGGTATAAAACTCCCTTTGGAATGCATGGTCTCCAGCATCACTGGTAGGGATGCTCTCCTGAGCAGGGCTGTGAGGGATGCTGTTTTTTTTTTTTTTTTTTAATAGGGGAACCAGGCTTTTTATGGGGTAACCAGAGGCTACCTTGATTCCACCATCAACATAAAAGCACAGGCCAGAAGAAGGGGGGGAGGGAGCTTCCTAAGAGGGCTGGCTTTGACATGGAATGTCCAACTCCACAGCAGAGATGTTGAATTCTGGGGTCGGCTTTCCACTGGCTCCGTTTGCAGATATCTCCCAGGGCAAGGTGGCTTTTTGAGAACCCTGAGCACTGTATTGGAATTCTGAAATTGCTTGGTACAGATGTGGCACTGTACTCCTAGTTCTGCCTGTATGCAGCCCCTTCTGGAAAAGGGAGGACAAGAAGGTGCCTCCTGGGAATGAGACCTGCATGGGACTCCTGAGCAGTGGGTCTTCCCTCCAAGCCTGGGAGGGAGTCACGGCAATTAGTCTCCGTACAGTGACTGAGATCTGGCTCAGAACCAGCCTGGAGCCCACGCAGGTGGCCTGTCTCCAGGACAAGGGTCTGGGTCAGTGGGAACAGAAAAAGGGCAACCAACTGCTGGGAAAGGGGCCAGTGCCCTCTGTTCCATCAGTTTCTCAGCTGTAGAATGGGGACATCCTGGGTGACAACAGGATGATTATGGATAGCTCTTGCTAAAGAACAGAATGGCCCCTCCTTCTAGGCAGTTCTAGGCGATAGAGTTCAAACACCAATTTCCTGGCCAGACTGCCGCCTTTTCCTCCTCCTTCATGCCTCGCGCAGATCCACAGAGTAGAGAGGGGCATGGTGTGGGACAGTCCTGCAGTCAGACCCTGTGCCAGGCGATCGCTCTCTCCTCCACCCCTCCCCACAGTGGATATTTGGGTTTTCTTACCAGGAGGCTGGAATGAATGGTAATTTCGTAATAAAGCCGTCTAAAATTAATTCTGTGAACATAAGAGCCCTACTGAATAACTTGTTCATGCATTTGTAAATACAGATAATGTTGTAAAAAACCCCAGCTATCTGGCAGTCTATTGAGTGCCTCCTCAGCGTGGAGGTAATCCTGGCCCATCCATATTCATGGCCAATTAGCAATTAGCAGCTCCACGAGCTAGGGCTGCCTTTGCTTCTCCAACTTGGGACTTGGTTCTAAGCTGAGCTTAAGCTTTTTTCTGTCTTGGGGTGTCCACAACCTTTAAGAGCCACCTGTCCTCGCTGTATAGTATGAATTTAACAGATTACATAAATCACGTCCTTTGGAGCATCCATGTGGCCATCTTGAATCAGGGAGGAGCAGGCCAAGGGTCTTTGAATTCCTATATGTGCAGGGAACGGTTAAATGCTAGAGAGACCACCTCGGAGCATTTGTGATTCCTCCTCTGGGCAAGACTTCTCCTAGATCAGGAGTAGAAGGATCCAGAAGGCAAAAAGCCCCTGAAGTGCCAGAGATCATTCCAGCATGGCCCAGTGGGGAGGACTGAGCTCCATAAAAAGGAACATGTGTTAATATGAAGCCCACTTTATATTTTGGTTACCTCTATTTTTCTGGGGATTAAACCCAGGGCCTCACACATGCTAAGCAAGTATTCTACTGCTGAGCCACATCCCCAGCCCTTAGCTACCCCTTAAAGGTGTATCTTCCAAAATTTTAAATTTCAGGTGACCCCTAACATAAGATGGTACGGCTTACAATTTTTTTGACTATAGGTTGGTGTGAGGGTATGGATGTTCAGCAGAAACTGTGCTCCAGATTTGAATTTGGATCTTTTTCCAGGCTTTGTGTAGGTGGTTTAATACTGTCTCACGATGTTGGGCCGTGGGATTAAGCTGAGACTCCAGTCAGCCACACGGTCACCAGAGGGAACCACCTGCTCCACAGGGTGCTGTGTGGCTAAGCTGGTGTGGTCAGTAGGTTGGGTATTCAGTGCATGTTTTGATATATTTTCAGCATGGGATGGATAGATGGGGGCATAACACTGTCTGAAGCAGAGGTGCATCTGGGTTGGCCCTTCAGGTCTTCTGAGCTGTGAAGTCTAGACTGCGTGTGCCTTGGCACCAAGAAAGGAGATGGCCCTGAATCAGAGTGGTTACCAGGTCTTGGAGAGAAGGCAGGCACTCTGGGGCAGGGACCAGTGGGAGGAACAGGAGCAGGAGATAGGACAGGCTTGTGTCCTGTCCTGGAGGGGCCGGTACCTTCCATCCTCCACCTAGTGCTGGGGTTCCTAGCCTACCTAACTCCTGTGGTAAGGAGAAGGTGGCAGCCCCATGGGAGGAGAATTTGCTCTCTTATTCTTCTTCAAGAGCCAAAAATTGTGCACTGAGTGCTGAGGGGTCCCAGAAACTCCCAAACTCAACCTGTAAGAAAAGTATCATGGGCCAGTCCGAGAGAAGGTGGTACTGTGGGAGAGAGGATGGGAGGATGGGACACACATACGGTGCTTGGAGTCTCTGAGAAGAAGGGTGTGTGTATCTGAGCAAGATAGACATCACCAGGACAGAGAGGCACATGCAGCCCTGTGTGTACTCTGAAAAGGTCGGGGATCTCTTAGGGACTGAGGACCCCTGGACTAGGGAGGCTGTCTAATCCAGTGAGGTACCTCTCTGGTGACTTTTGCTCCCTAGTTACACAAGGATGATGGAGTAGCCTTTTTGCTTGCCCAGGGCTGCAGGACAGGTACCTGCACACCCACAAAAGGGAGGACCCCCCTGGAGGTGCTCAGACCTGGGGTTAGGAGGTGTTCAAGAGGGGGGTAGGGTCATACATGCCCCCAACACATATCAGTGAACCTTTGGGGAGCTGCCTGAAGTGTGCCTTCACTGTGGCCCCAGGAAGTGACAGTTGCTGGAGCCCTTGGTGGGAGTCTCTGCTTCTCCCCAGCAGGTGTCACCTGCTACAGCCTCAGTTGAGACCCATTCACAGGTGTGCACTCACAAGTACACGCACAGGAGCAGACTGCATGGGCGCCTGGGGACAGGTGACCTGGGAGGGCATAGGAAGGCTTCTCATGGCTCCAGCAATTCCGCCCCCACCACAGGGTCTGGGAGTGGTGGTAGAGATTTGCATACTCCTGGTAGTCACATTCCAGGCAGCTGGTGTGAATGAGGTCACAGCAGCTACTGTAATCCACCCACACAAATAAGTAGCATAAACATAAATCTGTGTCCCAAAGCCACATTCTACATGTAAGCTTTTTTTTTTTTTCCCAAAGAGAGACACACATATCTGTTTATTGTAGCACCATTCACAATAGCCAAAATTGGAAGGAAACAACCCAGGTGCTCAACAAATGAGTGGATAAAGAAAATGTGGCACATAATCACGATGGAACATTACTGAGTCATTAAAAACTGAAATCTTGTCACTTGAAGCAAAATGGATGGAACTGGAAGACTCATTAAGTGACATAAGTGAGACCTTGAAAGATAAATACTACATGTTCTTTCTCACCACATGTAAACTTTTCATTCCCAGCTCAGCTCCAGATGCCCCTTTCTCTTTGATGGCCAGTTTGGTACACTGACAAGGACATAGTCTCTGACACTTTTTTCCTTTCAGGAAATCCATGAACTGCTCACTTTAGCCTTCTTCCCAGTTCATCACTATCTCCCAGGTGGCACCAAGGCCAGGGATGTTAGGGCACTTGAGAAAGTGTACAACACCCCTGGTGACTGCAGGGACAAGTCAAGAAGGGTGTTGGCCTCCGGAGCAGGCTTCGGAGCTGGGTCCAGTTGGCATGTGTCAGGGAAGCCAGAGCCCCAGGGAGTGCTGGTTCCTGGAGCAGTGGGGCTTCAGCCTTGACTGAGCAGGAGCCAGGCTGGCAGCCTGGAAGAGTGCCCCAGGAGCCTTAGCAGATGTGCTGGTAATCGCCAGATAAACACTGGCCAAAGGAGGCAGGGCCCAGGCCACTGGTTGGCTGGAGAAAGAAGGAGGGCGGTGCTTCTCCCTGCCACCTGGAAGCCTCCCAGAGGTAGTGGGAAATCTCAAGTTCACTGTTCTAATCTCCCTCCCTCCCAGCAAGAAGTGAGACGTCTGTGAACAAAGCAATGGAAATGGCTGGTGTGTGTGGATTCATGCCATCTGCAAAGGGAGGAAGGTGACATGACCCACCCAGGGCCTGCAGGGTCGTGATGGCAATGGCAGTAATAATAGTAGTGGCTAATATTTATGGACCACACTCAGAACCAGATTCCGCCAAGTGCTCTAGAAATGCCACTCTGATTCCTGCAGTTAAGGATTATTTATCCCATTTTACGGAAGAAAACACTGAGCCACACAGAGACTCAATCCTTTGTCCGGGATTACACAGCTCTTAAGAGACAAAGCCAGGAACTGAAACCCAGGTCTGCCCGGCCCCCTACACCTTGTTTCTGGAACTTGAGTGCAGCACCAGGTCCTAACTGGCTTCCACACAGGGCACCAGGCTAAGCCTTGTTGTCCTGGAGAAGCCATGGTGGGGTGAACCAGTGCATCCCAGGTGAGAGGGAAAGCCCTTGGAGATAGGTGGCCAGTGCCTTTAGAAACAAACAACAACCAAAAAAAAAAAAAACCCAGAATATCCTTTGCAGCCCCTCAGACAACTCTGCTGTGGGGAGAAGATGGAGAAGAGTGCAAGCCTCAGGAGCAGGGCCTGGCTCACTGGCTCTGCACATCCTGAAGCCTTGGCTCCTCCTTCTGTAGCCTGGATTATGATCTGCTGTATTGAAGGGTCATGTGACCCTCCAAGATTCTGGGCAGGAAGTCCCTGGGAGAGCACCCAATTGCTCACCAGTGGAAACTAAGGCCATATCACGGGAATCTTTTTAAACATTTAATCAAAAAAATACTTTAAAATCCCAGCACTTAGCCCCAATGTCGTTCCTCTGCTCGCCGCCAACACTTTCGTGTGCAGCCATCTTGGCTTGGATAGTCACACAACACACCAGGTTGACCACATTGTACGTCCTATTTCATAATCTGCCCTCCTCTGGGACAGCTCTCATGCTGGGGCACACTTTTCATGTTTGGAGTTCTGTGTGGAATTCCACAGGCACAGGATGGCCATGGTTTATTTGATGATTCCCTACTTGGTGAGAAGACAGTTGGTTCCAGTTTTCCTCTACTACAGAGCAGCCTCAAAGATACCCCCCTGTGTACACCTAGGCACACCTGTCTTTCCAGAGCTGAAGTTCCTAGAGGTGAAGAATTGCAGACTCAGAGGGGCACCATTTCATTTCTGCAGCAGGAGAACTGAATGCGTCTCCCACACCTCAGCAAGTGGGCCAATGTGGCCAGTGACAGGGATGAGCTCTGTCCCCTGCATTTCCAACCCATGTGCTTTTCTCTTCCTCTTCAGGTATGAAGTGATCTGCCAAAGCTCAGAGCTGGCCAAGGACATCCTGGAGCCCTCCTATGACCCCAAGAGCAAGCACTGTGTGTTTCAAGGGGACCTGCTGCTCTTCAGCTGTGCAGGCGCCCACCCCAGGCACCGGAGGATCTGCCCCTGCCGGGACTTCATCAAGGGCCAAGTGGCCCTCTGTAAAGACTGCCTATAGCAGCTGCCAGCTCAGCCCCACATGAAGTCCGCTGGGGAAGATGGTGGCTCCACTGGGCAGAGACAGGGGGGCAGAAATCATTCAGGGACTCTGGCCAGAGCCTGAACTTTTTTGGTCTAAGGTTTGGATTGGGGATTGCTCCTGCTGAGGTTAACGCCTCCCCCAGGGAGTTTTCGCCAAAACAAACACAAGAGCAGTTGTGAGGCAAGGAGCCTGGCTTCTTGTGGTACAAGGAACATCCTTCCTATTTTGTGAGGAGCAGCTGTAGGGAGATTGTCAATGCAGGTGCTCCAGGGTGGGGGAAAAAAAAAATCTCATGATTCATTTAAAACAAAAGAGAAATGAGCTGATTAGAAAGAACTTTGGGAACATTCCTAAACCCATTAACTTATTTATTTGGGAGGGAGGGAGGGGGACAGGGAGGGAGGAATGGGATCGATCACACCTTTCTTCTTTTATTTCCCACTGTTAGTCATTCTAGATACTGCTGTTCCTTCTGTCTGCCTCAGGCAGGTACAGTGGGGCCAATGGTGTGCTCAAGGGCAGCTATGGGGACCTGACTTCTGGAAGCAGGTGGCAGCAGAGCAAAAGAAACTCTTGCTTTGGAAACACAGGCAAACTGTCCAGGGCATTGTCATCAAGTGGAGGCATCCTGTGTGTTCTTGGCAAATGGCAGCTAAAAGACATTTAACCCCTTTGGTAGGGGGGACATGGCTGTCATGTCCAGAGAACCCAGTCATGGACAGAAGTCAGCCAGGGACATCTGCTTTATAGTCGAGAGAGACCCTTTCCTGTGTGTTCCCACCAACCCACCCACCTTGGCCCTAATTGGGCTAGAATGTCCTTAGAAAAGAAATGCAGGATTGTAGAATTTTTTGTTAGCTAATTTATGGTAACTTGGCCCTCTCTGATACGCTACTATAAGGAGAGTAGAGGTGTGGGACTCAGAGAACTACCTTTGGACTTGGAGGGATGGCCTTCTAGCTTTCAGACAGCTGAGCTTCAGAAAGGAATGAATTCGGTTCTTAAGATTAGTGGAACTATCGAAGAACACCTCACAGGTGTTCTGGTGTTATATTCCTTCTGAAGTCTGATATCACCAAAGTCCAGGGAATGGGGCTCTCAGTGAACATTTGATGTTTGCTGGGAGAGCAGGAACAGCTCAAGATGAGTGCCCTGCACTGCCCTGACCACTCTCCCATTGGTGTCACTTGCAAAGGGCGAAAGCGTTGGGCAGACTTTACTCCAGGCAGAGTTGTTCTGAGAGGGCTGAGCAACCCCACTGAATGAGCTCACCAGCAGGCTGGGCAGACATGTTGCACCCACCTTCCACACACCCTGGAGCCCTGTGCTCTGTTTTTTTGTAAGTTCCCATATCTGCTGAAGCACTGCTTCCATGCTCTGCAAATGTTTACGGGTTTCTCATGAGGCCCCTGACACCTCCACCATTCCTTTGAGAGTGAGCCGTCATCTTCTTCTGTGTAGGAGCTGCCAGCATCGTCCACTCAGCTCTGGATGGTGGTTTGGTGTACTGAACAGCCTGCAGTCCACACCAGAGACCGTTTCCTAGCACCCTGCCTGTGGGGGTGCAGCCAGGTGGAGCCTCTGCCAGGTAGAACAGCTGGGCGAGGCTAATGATGGAGTAGGCCTTCAGGAAATGAGGGAAGGGAAAAATTCTGCTTTGTGGGGAGCAGAGAGCCTCTACATCTGGAAAATTGAACTGCCTGCTTCTCAGTTTCTACCATGGTGCATAAATAACAACTGCACAGCCAACCTTTTTTTTTTTTTTTTTTCCCCCCTTAGGCCCTCAGATCACTGCTCAGTAGATCTGAATTTCACTTCCAGTTCCAGAGACAGAGAGAGAGTGGGGAGGGGCAGCCAAGGTCTCCACCCTTCAGGTGTTCCCTGAGCACATCTGCCAGGGAAACTACCAGTGGGAACACCTCTGCCTAGAGCACTGATGCAGGGGACTTGCTGGAAATAGCCTTTTCCTGGGCCCAGCACCACGGGTGGAAGTCCAGATAAAACCCAGTTTGTTATGGTAGCTAGTGCACGGGTTTTAAGTTTGAAATGGCAGTTTCTGCAGTAGGAAGGGGAAGAACTGGCATCCTCACTCTTGAGGAAGGACATTTTCCCTGTGAGTGGGCCTCTTGGCTGCTCCCTGGCAAGTGGGAGTTTGCTTGGGTTACCACACCTGTTATTCCTAGGCCAGCTCCGCCCTCTCCTGGGCTCTTCAGGGAATTTCCCAGGCTGCTGATGACCGTGTGGGAATCCCACCAGCAGGGGGCGCCTGCAGGCTGAACTTGCTTTCCCAGGCAGGGCTGTGTCAACCTACTTAGCAGACAACTGTTTCAAGAAGCCTGGGAGTTCAGAAAGCAGAAAACCTTGTAAAGCAACATTGTCCCTGGCAGAAGCTTCAAGCATCACTCCCTATCTGTCCCTGGACTCGGGGGGGTCTCTTCACCTTTCTGATCCTCTTATCAGGCAGCCCAGAAGAACACTTTCTCCCATTTAAAAATTCCTCTAACTTCCTAAGTCTAGTCTCAGCTGGAAGTAAACCTAAATTCCCTGGCTGGGGCTGCTGCTCTTGGGGCAAAGTAACCCACACTCCTGTTGTTAAGGGCATTGTTGATGGAGTTGGTGACACGTGAATGTGTACCAGCCCCGAGACCTCCTATGACTTGTTCCAAGTTTGGTTCTCCAGGGGAAACTGGGGAGGGGCTTCCATTGGCCCAGTGTGGGGTGTGAAGAAGAAAAAGGATGGTGCCTCTGATAGTGTGGGCTGGGCGCCTGCAGCAGTTTTACCATTGCTATTTTTATATGGAAACCTAAACTGATTTGTAATTGATAACCAATCCACAGGGAGAGAGATCCGAAATCAGGATTGATGTTTTCCTGTGCTATAATCATATCTTGCCTGGCCTTTAGAATTATTTTTCCCATTGTGATCTTGAGACAAAAACTTAAGGGAAAAACATCTAATTTATTAAGAGAAAGCTTTCCTTTGTAAGGTAAATACTTTCCAGAGTAAACACTCCGGAAAGGGAAAACACACTTCTTTGAATGCCAGTAAACACCTCATTTATTTTGTGTATGCAATTTGATTTGCACATGTACAAATGGAGATGCTTTTTGCATTTTTGCTTTGATTGGGTTTTTGTCAGTGCTTATTACAGTTTACTTTTTGTGTTTGCTGTGTGTTTGGAATGTTAGAGTCTGTCTCTTGGTGATGTTTATTTTCCTGCTGTGCCTTTTCACTTTTCTTTGGGGTTGGTTTTTGGAATCTGGGTGCTGTTGAGGAGTGTTAGGTCCTTGAGTGACTACAGATGTTCCGGCTGGGCACCAGAAATGGCCCCTAGGCCACAGTCTGTGTATCAGGCACATTCACCCCCCGAGGAGGGTATGAAATCATGAGAAGTCTAGGGGAAGGGCTGGCTTCCTCAGACTGGGCCACAGTGTGGGTCTGTCTTGGGACTGCTAGTTACCAAGCTGCCTGCTACCCTGTCACTTGCTGAGATGTGGCTGAGGCAGGAGGCCAGCCCAGGGAGGGACTGCATTGAACTCATCGGAAGCAGTAGCCCCGTAATACTTGGGCTGGTTAGTATCACGAAAGGGGAAGACTCTGTGCCCCTCTTTTTTATTTCCTTCGTGGATGAATGAATGCAGGATTTAATGAAGATGAATAATTACTCCTTTGGGAGTACAGCTGCAGTATAATTCACTGGAAGTGCAAGTGTCAATGAAATGGATTTGACTGAAGCTGTAGTTTATAGGTGGGTGTGTGTTTTTTAGATCAGACCAAGGTGGTTTACCTAGACTGTATATAGTTAGACACCGCTACCTTCTCCTATGCCCCCCCTCAATTTTTTTTTTAAATTAAGTACTGGGGATTGACCTAGAACCTTGCTAGGCAAGTGCTCTACCACTGAGCTACATCCCCAGTTCCCCCCATCCCTTTTTAATTATTTTTTGAGACAGGGTCTCGCTAAGTTGCCCAGGCTGGCCTTGAACTTGGTGATCTTCCTGCCTCAACCTCCCAAGTAGCTGGGATTACAGGCATGTACCGCTGTACCCGGCTTCAAAAATTCTTGATTAAAAGAAAAAAAAAAGATATTTTGTTAACGACAGGCCATGTTGTATGTGTTACTATCCCAAGCCTGGATTGTTTTATTTATTTGAAGATGTTTTAATTTCCATATTGGCTTTATTCTAAATCCTATCCTTCCCTATGAGGTTGCAGAGCATCTTCATGTAACTAAGTGGGTGAACATAAATAGATCCATACTCATTTAGGAAGCTGACAGTTCTGTAAAGCTGAGGGTGAGTTCCTTTCATTCTTGTTGGCTTCAACAAAAAATGGAACACCAAGTTTTTACATATAGCAAAAGACCAAATTAGCTGTATAGTCCTGGATGCAGAAAAAAGTTACCCTAGCTTTCTTAGCACTTAGGGTTTTGTGAGGATTCAATGTTTTAGCACAGTGTCTGGCACCTAGTAAGCCCTAGTAAATGTTAAAATATTGTTATTAGCATTTCATAAAGCCTGAGAAATAAAGAGCTCACTCCCTATCTGTTGATTCAAAATAACACCTACATAAAAATATTATTCCAAGTTGACCAAGTATTGTAGGAATTACTGGTTTAGATTGTCCAAGTTCTGTGCCTACCCTGATAGTTGAAATCTTACTGTATTCCTGAATGCACTGATTTGAAAATATGCCAGACTTCAGCTCCCAATGAAACCAGCCTGCAAGACTTTATTAACTGGAATTGAAAAAGGTGAAGGTGACCTTTGGCCACATACTGGACCTCACCCCACTGATGTCTTCTGGAACATTCCAGGGCTTTCTTTGAAGAACTTTTTGAGTTAGAAATAATTTAAAGGAGATCTCAGATAGATCGTACACTTTGAATTAAAGTTAATCCTATGCCTCTGCAATGCAATAATGGAGACTTTCCTGTGTCATTTAAGAGGAAAGAATGACCAATGAAATTTATACATTCCCCAGGAAATCCCTTTGCTGCCCCCTGCTGGTCAGGGTGGCTCTTAACAGGCTGGTTACCCCATGTTTCCACCAAATAAAGGTTAATTCCAGGGCCTGGTCCCAGAGAAAACCCACCTCCCCAGGGAAAGCCACCTGATGTCCAGGGCACAGATTTTGGCCCTTGACAGAACATTCCCCCAGAGGCTACTCTTGGTTTAATGATGTTTTCCCAACTCACTTAAATATCAGTTTTCTGTTTGTTTGGGGGGTGGGGGGGTGGATTTAGCCTCTTGCTTCCCTGGTGAATTGTAAGGTTTTATCTCCTGTCCGTCCATGTCGACTCAACTCTGGATAGATTGTGATTATGGAATATGGGGGAATTTTCTGGAGTTTGGTATCTTTTTCAAATTCCTTTGGTTTCTCTTCAGCTGATCGGCAGTCTTACAGTTCTACGGTTGCGATGATTGGAATTTACCTCCTTCAAAGCCTCACTCTCTAACCAAGATTCTGCCGCGCCTTAAGACTGTCCCTCACCCCTTCCCTGACCCCCACAGCAGGAAAGGCATGTGCCCATTTGGCAGGCAGGGTCACTGACTATGGAGGATTGGTGGGAGAGGGAGAGTGGTAGTGGGCACTCAGATGCAGTGGTGGGTCAGGAACCTTTCATCTGTCGTGTCTGCCAAAGCTGAGATGGTACAAACGTGAGATGCATCTTGCTCACTGTCCTGCCCAAGTACTAACAGGACCATAGCATAACAATTGATGCCAAAGGATATGGTGTATCCCTTCTACTGTAGTTGCTGTCACAACCTTGATGTTGTTAGCTAATGGTCATTAGCATCTGTGTCTTCAAACAAATCCTGGTACAACTGTTTTCTACTGTTCACTTCTGGGGTTAAGTCGTGCAGGATTCTGCAAATAAGGTGTCACTGTCCAAATGTTACTGTACTGGCATAGAGAGCTCTGCTTTGTTTTCCACTGTTGTAGAGAAAACTAGGGAGAACTTTATTTTTCAATAAACTTTTCTTGTGTGACAGGTGGGAGTGGTTTTTGTGAGAGCTGGCTGGGTACAGGGTCAGCCACAGATGCATGCTGTCCAGCTGCATCTCACAGTTTACAAACTCAGAAAGGCTGACGGAAGGAGGTTGTGGAGGGAATCGTTTCAGAACTAAGCATTCTCTCCCTTAAAGCACATCTACCAATCAGGTCAGACCACTCTCCCTGCCCTGTACTCACTTAGCAAGGAGCTGAATTAGTGAATTGCTAGACTTTTTTTTTTTTTTGAGACAACTGTCAATCACTGCACCAAACATTTAAAAATCTTTCCAAATGGGCTAGTAAAATGGCCCTAAAAAGACTACCTAAGTGCAAGAACTTGCTGGACCTATACCACATTTCTCCCTTCAAAAACAGCATTGTTTGAACCAGGAATCAGTGGACCTTGAGTGCTTGATCAGGCAGATGTCTTGGAAGCACAAGGCCACATCAAGGAGCTGGACCTAGCCTGGACTCTAAAAGCCAGGCACTGCCTGGTGACTGGCTGCAACAGAGAGGCTACACAAATCCTTAAAATGTGGACTTGTGATAAAAGGTGCCAAGGAAATACAGAGAACCTCAGTTTGGGGATTGCTACCTCTTCATCTACTTTCCCTAAAATTCTACAATGTGTATTAGCTACAGTAAGAAAATCTACAGAAAAGAAAAATATTGAATCTGCCTCTATCACACCTGCTCACAGACTTTTTCTGTGCTACGTGCAAACATCTCACGGAAGGCCCGTCTGAGTGCTGTGTGACTTGGCAGAACAAGCTACAGGTTAAGTGTCCCTTAACTGAAATGTTTGGGACAAGTGTTTCAGATTTCAGATTGTGGGATATTTACATGTACATAACGAGACCCCTCCAGGATGGGACCCAAGTCTAATGAAACTCATTTGTTTCCTGTATATCTTAGACACAGCCTGAGGGTCATTTTGGGCAGTATCTTCAGTGCACTTGTGTTTTGCACATGGGGGTCAAATGAAGTTCTCTACTTGTGGTATCATATTGGCACTCGAAGTATTGTGGATTTCAGAGCATTTTGATTCCAGGGTTTATGGATTAGGGGTGCTTAACCCATACCTTCCTTTAACCAGCCCAGTGGGAGACAGGGCACTGAAGGCTGGAGTGGAGGACCCAGGAATCAGCCATGCTCTGGTCCAGGAAATTGAATGTGCAGTGGTCCTGCCTTGTAGAAGGCAAAAACAACCGTTCAAGGTCTCTGCTCTCCCACTAGAAGCAAAAGCAACCATTCCCATATATCATCCTTCAGCTGCAATGGAAAACCTGCCCATGATGGCAAGCCCTGATTTTGTTGGTGTTGCATGATGACGACTCTCAAAGATTGCCTCGCCGTGCCGTACAAAACAGGTAAAGGTCTTTATTGGGCAGACAGTACTGTGAGAGGTACAGAACGCTGCAGGGTAAGGGGAATGGAGTCTACAGAATCTATACCTAATGTTACATAAACGGAGAACATCTTGTTCCTTACAGAGGAGTAAACCATCTCTCACAGACTGTAATGTATCATTACCATTTGACACAGCATATAGATATATGCATATATGGATAGATTATATAATTATTTATTACAAATAAACTAGTTTCACATCTCTCAAAAATGGATCCTGTTTTTACATGGATGTGCAGGTTCTGAGTGTATGAGAAAGGGTCATGTGCTTATTTAGCTTGTCCATGCAAAGCTCATACATATGTCACTAAGTACTTTAAAAAATAGAATGGTCTTCTTTAGAACAAATCTGTTTAGATTTAGGATTAGTAAAACAGTATGAAACTAATGAAACACACTGATAGAAATTAGTGATACACTGATGGTTCTGGTTATGTAAGAGGATGAGGGACTAAAGGGCCCAGTCTTCCCTTAAAATCTGCCAGGAGAGAAGAATCCTTAGAACTAGGAGGTGGCTGGGGCCACACACAGTCCAGAGGAGAGGGACCTGCTCGCTATCTGTTTCAGGCTTAGAGCACCACAGTTGGGCTTTCTGCCAAGCAGAGATCTTATCCTACCCCAAGAACTGTTTTACTCCAGAAAACAGAAAATGTCAGTTCCGGCTTGAGATGGGGAAGTGGGTCCCCTCCTGCAGGCATTGTCCTAAGTGTGTGATGGGGGGCAGCAGAGTGAGGGTACAGGACAGATGCACCCACTGGGCAGGCAGACCTTGTCCTGTGATGACAAACTGTATGAAAGAAGACTTTCCAAAAAAAGAAACTGATGTTCAGTTAAATATTGGCACCGTCTGCCTACGTGGAAACTTTTCGTCGTCCTGACGGTCTTCATGCGGAGCAGTCCTCCCTGGTCCCCAGGGCCACCTTCACTCAAACATCTCATAGTGACGCGTCTGCCTCACCCTTGGCACCATGTCGATGAGAAGCCTGCAAAGAGGAAGACAGACACCGTCACCGCAACACTGGGCCCACTGCAGTTTGGGGAAGCACAGAAGAGACTCGTTTTCTGAGGTCATTCATGTACCATAGGCGTCCAGTCAGTGGTTTCTAATACGTCCATGAATTTGTGTAATCATCCCCATTACCTTAATTCCAGAATGTTTTTATCCCAAAAAGAAAACCATTCCCACTAGCAGTCCTTCACCCCATTAGCAAACAATACTCCACTTCGGCCTGAAATATCCAGAGTAGGCAAATCCAAAGAAATCATCATACAGTATACAGCCACCTTTATCTGGCTTCTTTCATTTGGTATAATGTTTAAAGTTCATCTAAGTCATACTGTGTACCAGTTCTCCATTCCCTTTTAGGGATAAATAATAGCCCCCTGTATTTATTCTTCAGGTAAAGGGTGGTTTCTACTTGTGCCCATTATGAAAAACACTGCCATGAACATTTGGGTACAAGTTCTGGCATGGATTTGGCTTCAGTCCTCCAGAGCACACCCCAAGGATCAGAATTTCGGGGTTGAGGGACAGCTCCATGTTTAACATTTTGAGGAACTGCCAAATTACTCTTCAAAGCAGGCTCACCATACATGTTCCCATCCCCCCCACGTCCTCACCAACACTTGTAACTGCTCCTGGTTTTGAGTATAGAGGTCCTAGTGGGAGCTGGGAAGGGTTTTAACATTTAAAAGCATAGTGCCTTTCAGAAACAGATGCTGGATCCAGAGCTGGCCATGCCAGTGTGCCACGTCTTCAGTGAGTGCCCTCCATGTGGGTTTTTCCTCAGCATGCACTGACCATCCCTTTTTACAAAGGGTTCTCCAAATCTACAGCCCAGCCTCTGGCCCAATGGTGCTACCTGGCCTCTCCCAACTCATTTAGAGCATTACCCATGGGTGGCAGGAGGCTGCATGGGTAAGGAAGCCACCCCAAGATGCTAGCCTGGGCATCCTGAAGACCAGCATTATAGAGAAAGAAAGTCTGTATTTCCAAGTCATGAAGGGCTAAAGGGAGGATTAGTTGATGGACCATAAAGACATCAGACAAAAGTAAAGGAGACCTTTTGTGGTTCAAACACTTTAATACTCTTGTTGGGATCTTTGCCTCCTGTGCCAACCCCTAGGAGAACTGACCCCTGGAAGGGGCTTTTCCGACCACTTGACAGTTCAGGATCAGGAGAAGCCTGAGCTATCATTTTCTGACTAGGGAAGCAGGTGGCAAGAGTGGCTCTCCTCCTGGCCACCAGGAAAACAAATATGAAAGAAAAAACATACTTGACCCCGTAGGCAAATATGGTGAGGCCGATCAGCACGCCTATGCTGCCATCCAGGTACCAGACCGACGCATTGTGCTTGAACACCTCCGCACTCAGAAGAATGGAGAAGCCCATCACACCACCCACGAGGGAGTTAAACCCTGCAAAAGGAGGAGAGATGCTGGACGGTGGTGCTCAGAGATCTGTCTTAGCCACTAGCCTGCCTCAACATCCTGGAGTACATGCAGAAAGGATGCAGCCCAGAGCTCTCTCATCACCTAGGACACCAACATGGCTCAAGTCCCTCCTCAGTTGTCACCAGGGACCTCCCTGGAGATAGCCATCCCCAGTCTCCACCCTTAACCTGCTTTCATCTCTAAGCACTTATGCCCATATGAGACAGTGAGCAGGGGAGTGGGGCTCAGCATTGGTACCTACTAGAATGCAGACCTCAGGAGAAAAGCAGGAGCTCAGTTCCCTGTTGAATCCACAGACAATGCCTGGCACACAATAGACATTCAAATCCTGGCTTACACACATCTGTTGAATGTATGCTGAGCCAGGTACCCATCTGGGTGTTATAGATACATACAAACTTTGTCAATTTGAGGGTATATTATGCACTTTACTGATGAAATCAATAAGTAAGGGAGGTTCAATAATTAAACCAAAGTTATCTAGAGCAAGAAGGGAAGGGATGGATTCTATCTGAGCCTGTGTCTGTTCCCTCCAGCATCTGCACTAACATCCCAGAAGAGGAATGCAAAGTTTTGAACTGATGACATAACTGAAGAAATGTCAATAAAAACCAGAAAGGGAAGAAACACAACTTTTACAACTTGAACATCACACTTCCATTTTACCTATGAGTTGTCACAAGCCACACAGAAAGGGAATGGCTTAGGGCAGTTTCTGGAATTTCCCCATGACATAAACCACAAGGGTCCTCACCTGTTTTACCATCATAGTATCCCTGAGAGGAGCTCCAAGCTCCACCTCCTTCCTGGGGCAGCCTGCCCCCAACCCCGTCGTGTAACAGAGCCATGTGTCTGCTGAACTCAAAAGCCCTCATTCTGGCTACAAGCAAGAAAATTGAGATAATACATTCATGCAGTCTGTACTCCTAGGAGAGAAAAGGCAGGTGGGGGACAGGTATGATCTGAGCAAAGCCTGGGTCAGTCCTATTCAGAGGCCCCTAGGACAGACCTCCAGGGGCTGCTCCCCATTCATGAGAATGAGACAGCTAAACCTGAGGCCTGCAAGGGCCTCTCAAGGACTGGCCTGGGACACACTGCAATGACCTTACCATCACTCAAAGTTTCAGCTGGTGACTCAGCTGAGCACACAGATTTAGACAAGAATACCTCATCTCACCAGCACCAAGCCCGACACTCACCTGGAACAGCAGCTTCTCTGTAAGGCCCACCCCATTCACCTGGGTCACTGTGACTGGGGTGAACCCCATTCATGCCCCCACCCAACCTCTTCCTTGATTCCCATTTATGTCCCCCTCCTCAACCTCCATGAATTATCGCCCTTTATGAAATCTGCTCAAAGTTGCCTTCTTAAGCCAGTTTCATTTTTGTACCTCCTATTCTGCTCATAAAACCCTTTCTGAGATCATCCATGGCTCCATATTGCCACATAGATAGGTAAGTCCTCCTCCCTCTGTAAACTGCCTTCTTCAGCCTCCATCTCCTGGTTTCTTGCTTCCTCTCCAGCAGTTCCTTCTCAGCTTCCTTTGCTGCTCCTCCTCCACATGCCCACTGGAGTCACCTGGGCTCTTCCTCTGAACTCTCCCTCCATCTAAACTCTCCTCCTATCCCATAAGCCAGTTCTCTAAAAGTTCTATTTTTTTTTAACAACCCTTCCCTTCAGCTACAGACACACATGCTTCTCAAACTGAAAATGCACACATCTCAATTCTTGCCCCTAAACATCTCACCCTCCAACCACCACCTTCTCTGTGTTCAGTGCCACCCTCTTCCCAGGTAAGGAGGCCAGAAATTCAAGATCCCATCCATGACCTGTCCCACATCTAAAGTCCAACCATCAGGTGGGTCTTGCTGTTACCTCCCCAGTGCATTTTCAAATCTCCCCCCCTCTTGCCACCCCCAAACTCATCTGCACCCACTCCCCTCCTGCCCAGAGTTCCCATAAGCCATGGTCCTGCCAGCAACCACTTGGAGAAGTGGACAAAGCTAAAACTTTCTAAGGAAAGCCAACCATTACCTATTTCAAATCTCACCCAAACTTTTCACAGCTGACACCACTAGCCCCCTCCTGCCTGTCCCATGCTACCCCTACTGCTCCTCCCTCACTTCACTCTAGCCACCCTGGCCCCCTCAGTGAGACCCTTATCTTTGGGGCTCCTTCCCAGGTAGCCACTCAGAGCCCCTGAAGTACTTTGTCTACCCACTGTGCCCACTTACCTCTTCACCCATGCCTGGTATTTTCTCATAATCCTTGACCACCTGCTATTTTTGCCATTTTTCTTTTACCATCTTTCTCTCTTCACTAAAAACTAAGCTTAAGGACAGGAAATTTGTCCTTCAAACTTGCTATCTATATTCCTATATAGAGTCTGGCATTTATCAGAGGTGCAAATGATAGCTGCATTAATTAATTATCAGGGTAGGTGTGCAGGATGACTGTAGCTTTGCTGTCCCCTGTGTGAAGGAGCCAGCCCTTGCCTAGACCAGTCACCTGTGGTCCTGACAATGTGAACCCCAATGATGCTTAGAAAAGATGCAGAGGCCTGAGGTTCCCCAGATGGCCACTAGATGTCCACTTAGCTCCACCAAGTCAGCTCTGCTCTGCCCACCTGCATCAAGAACAGCCCAGGGGCCAGGGTGTGACCACAGGTATCTGATTCACGCTGAGGATTTCACCTCCTTTGCCCACATCTTCTAGGAGGGAGCTGCTCTCTGCTCTGTTTGGCCCACTGTTTTGTGATTACAAAGGCTCACATCTTAGGATCCTGCAGGAGAACACTGGGACAGGCACACAGGGACTAGGGACAGATTCCATGTCTGCTGCCACATCCCTTAATGTTGGAGGCTTTCCATTTACCCCAAGGGAAGAGCCTGGGCACCAGCCCTCTCACCAACAGCAGCACACCAGGCTCTAGCAGTCACTCACTTGAGCTTGGCCCTGTCCCCTCAGAGCTGTTTTAAAGAATTCTGCTAATGATGTAGAGTGGCACAAAACAATGGTGGGGACCATCTTGATTAGAAACTTTAATAACAAGATCAGAATCTGTAATTAGGCACATTACTTGTTGTAGAATATTCTAACAGTTTTTCATATGCTTGAAAAATTATCAGAGACTCTTGTTAAGAGTTGGAAGAGAACAGTCCCTAGAGGCCCCTAGGTCAGAGGGGTTTCCTAACTTGCCACAACTGTTCCTTTGGACAGGACCAAAGCTGAGGCTCTTGTTCAGAGTTTTCCCCCAGGTGCCTACTCACAGTCTTCCTCCATCTGATTTGGCTACAAACCCATTTTACTCCTAGTCCTGATAGGCACCATATGCATATTGACTAAATATCAAGCAACAAAACCAGACAAGACACACAACACAGAGTGAGCTAGTCTGGAACTTACCATGGTCTCCCTCATCCACACCCTGCAGTCCCCTTTCCCTAAAGACCCACTTCCAGGTGTTAAGAATGTGTGGGTCACAAAGGACCTGGCAGAATCAGTCTGACACAGTTCACACAGCTTCAGCACAGGATCCAGACACCCACCAGGTGACAGGTAAGGGCCACCCTCCCTCTCTCCCTGCAAAGAAAGCGGTTTGCCAACTTGCTTCCCCTGGAGAGAAGGTGCTGGGCTTAGCTCTGACAGGGTAGCAGTCCTGGGGTATATGTTCCAGACCCATTCTTCAGGGAATACCCAACATTAATGATAGCCATGGCTCCCCACACCCACCCTGCCCACCTCCCAAAGGGAGGGAAGAACAGAGAGGAGGTAATTACAGATTGCTCTCCAGTTCTGCTTATCAACAAATGAGTAAAGCCCAGATCCCAGACAATACAATTAGCCGGAGGCTGTAATTACTACTGCATATTTTGCCAGAGACACCTACTCCCACCAAGCAGGGGGCCCCTTCTGGTTAATAGCTTGGACAGCTTCTGGAACAGCACTCATCTCTCTGTATCCTCTCTTGTTAAACCCCCATGGCCATTTATTCCCAAGACCTACCCATTTAAACCACTTTCCTCTACCAGGGCCAAGGTCTCATCTCTGCAGAGACTTTCCTGCTTCCATCTCACCTCCTTCCATTGTTCTCCACCACAGACATCCAGAGGGCTCTTTAGAACATGCCAATGATGTCATGCCCTGTGCCCTAAAGACCTGGGCCAGCACTATGTCCTTCAGAGAGACATAAAGGGACTGCAACAGAGGATGGAAAATCCAAGCCCAGACATATGGCCACGCCCACTCATTCTTCCACTGGCTCACAAGCACCTCTGTGCTGTCCCTTCTTAAGAAAAGCAGGACTCTGCAGCAGAGGGAGGCATTTTCTTTTTCACATTATAAAACACCAGACCACAAAAATTACACTTGGGTGAACATTTGACCCAAGTTCTGGATCTGCCCCAGGTAGGAAAGGGCACAGTTCATCCCAGGTCTTATAGGACACTGTGTATTACGGTCAACTTGATACCACTAATGCCATGACGTCTGGGTGGGTGACAGACCTCCTGGGTCTGCTTCTGTCCTTCTCATGAAATGAGAACCATAGGGGTTATTTAACTAGGTTGCAACCCTAGTTGGAGTCCAGGGAAGGACACCTGAGGGGCAGACACCTGAAAGGCATGACTCTGCATGGCGAGCTGGTCTACCCAGCTCACACAGCACCTAGCAGAGCTCCAGACGCAAGACACGGGACCATAAAACCCACTGATTCAGGGTTCATCACCATCTCACTCCATAGGCGTTGATCCTCAGAATTCTCACTTCTTCCCACCCTATGGCTGAGGAAGGCAGTATCGGGGGCTCATCTGGGCACAGGGAGAACCTGAGGCTCCCCTCCCTGCTCTTCAAACAAGGCCTTCATGCTACTTCAAAGAAGAGCAGGAAGAGCAGGGTTCAGCCCAGGTAGCCAATCCTGTTACCATTCACACAGTTTTCATGGATTAAAAAGCTTTGGCTGCATACAGGCCAAAGGCCTCCCCATCCCAGGCTGTATAAGGGCAGAAGCGAACATCGCACCAGCTGGAGTGGTCCCTTCAAAACTGATTCTGAGAGCTGAGGGCCCAATGGCACACAGGAGCACTGGGCACTGCAGGGTTCACCTTTCCTGGGGTGACACTATACCTAGCCCCTTGATATGGACCATGGAGACAGCACCAAACCTCAGTGTGCCCACATGGGTTGGGACATTGCTTCAAAATGACCATTTCTGGGCCCCAGTCAAGGTCCTGGAATCAGAAACGTCAGGAACCTGATTTTAACAAATATCCCAAGAAAGTTTGATGCCATGAGCTTAATGGTAGTCGGCTGCCTAGCATCTAATCTGGGGGCCTCAGGTTTTGAAGTCAGAATCTCAGATCACATAACTCCCACCTGCAACTATCCATATAGGTGATGCTCTTTCCAGGGCAGCTGTGGCTGTACAGCCTGGGCCTTCTCTTGCCTTCCCAAGAGAAAATGCTGCAGATGCAAAAAGTGGAGGGTGAGGAGCCAGTGGTGGGGACTGGGACCATACAATTCCTGGACTTGAACTGAGTCCCTGAGTGGAAACAGCCCTTCAGTTTCATGTCCCTGTGCCCCACCCCGTGCATCCAAAGCCCAGCTCCACATGGAGCAAAGCATCAATGTGGAACAGGAGGAGGAGTCACAACCCACACTGCATCCCCATGCTCCATCACTTGGGCAAGAAGGGCTCTCTGCAGTGCCATCCTCCCAGTCTAAAACCACAATGCAGCCAGCCACCCACATCCCTCTGCATTAATGCATTTCAATTATAACCGCAAGAGTTTCAGAGGATGGAATGTTTCTTGCCTTAAGGAAAAAAAATCCCAGTTATTTCTGCTCTATTTTGTACAGATACACACCAAGCCTTTGCCCTTTGCCCTCCCTTGCTTTACCCTGACCTCCTAGACTCTATGTGTGCTCAGGAGTGAATAAAAATAAAATGGATATGAAGAACTGCATGTCAAATCTTATTTATATGTCAATGCTAGTTTGGGATCTGAAATGCACTTTTCCTGAATTCACACACCAGATTCTCTGCATCTCAGAAGTCCACATAGGAAGCTCCTCCTGACCCATGAGGATACACATGGACATTTCTAGCTGGTTTGGCTTTTAAGCAGAGAAGTCATGGATGGTTTCCTCAGTGCAACACCTGATGACTTTGACCTGAACTCCTGAGCACAGGTTCACTAGCTAGAGAAAAAGAAACATGGCAAGTACAGAGAGGAAATGCTTGTAGAATGCAGAAAACACAGTTCCTTTTTACTTGAAATAGTGCATCAAACCTAAGACTCCAGGAAACCTTTGTGCTTCCTGATTAAGAGGCTGAGAGGCCCAAGTCTCTCTGTTAAGGGGTCAGGAGTGATTCACAAAGAGTTTATTAAATTTTAGGGCATGAGACATCTGTGCTGATACAAGGGCCAGGAGAGTCATCAAAAGTTTGGGGAGAAAAGGATGGGGACAAATGAATTCCAAATTGTTGAGCTCTCCTGCAAGACAAGCATCTAAAAGTAATCCAAACAGCACCTTTCCTTGCTGTGAGCTCAGCCCCCAGAGATCAGGGCACAGTGGCCTTACTCACCATCTGTTATGAGTGCTCTGCTGGTCAGAACTTTTCCCAGCATGAACTTCAACACAGCCAGTATGCTGCAAAGGATCCCACTTAAAATGGAGACACTGAACAGGAAATCATCCTAGAAAAGAAAATGCCAGATTTCAACAGTTCATCTCCTGCTAGAGCAGTTCATCTGCAAACCACTTACAATGAAGATCAGCTTTGCTCCAAGTACAAATAATCAGTCAGTTATGCTGCCACCAACTCGGGGTGTACGCTGTGCTTTCCTCCTCAGTCATGTCACTGGAATTTAGAAAAGATAACCAAATGTAGATATCCAGGTGTATATTTCCTTAGAAATTCATTATGTATTTATTTCCCCATAGGAGAGCCACCTTTTCACTATTCTGCTAAAATGAGTGGCAATCATTAATCAATAACAGAGTTGGTTAGAATGCTAATGGCATCTAAGTAGAGTTTTCCACAGATAACTCCCAAAGCAGTTGATTGAAAAATTTGGAACACATCACAGGCCTAAGTACCTTTCAACACAGAGCCACCTGAAATAACCACAGGGTTAATTATGACCAGAGTTCCTTAAAACCTTATTTTTTTTCTTCAATTCACACAATTGAGAGTTGAAATAATGCCTTCCAGGTGGGGAAAAATGGCATCTAAAAATACAGTCTGCTATTGACGTTATCTTAACACTTCCTATGAGTTGCTACCTTACGTTTGCAAGCAAATGAGTGAGTCACCCACACACCACCACCTCCTGACATCAGGCCCACTGAGTTCAGCTTTGAGCTCCTGCGCCTCACTCCCATGAGACACAGCCTCCAGATTTTCCAGTATTAAAATGCAGCTGCCAGCAGAAATAGGATATGGCATCACACATCTACAAAGAAATAGGATTCTCCTTAAGCATTTTATTAATAAATTCACTAGCTTAGTGACAGAAACTGAGAAAAGGGACACAGCCTGGGCTCAAAACTGAACAGATCATTTGAAAGAAATATCAATGTAGCATCACGGTACCTCTCCCAAAATACAGGTCGATGGCATTGCAGTAGTTTTAACCATGTGTGTTGGGGAATTCTCTGCTACTCCTTCCTTCCAACTGTGGAAATCAATCCTCCCTCCCCACTATCTTCCCTTGAGCATGACCTAGACATGGTGACTCAAATCTAACAAATAGGGCTAGAAAGGGAAAATCATTAGCACCTTTACAGTGGAGAAGCCCAGGACACCACCTCACTAAGTGACCAAGGCTAATGTCACCATACTTAAGTTGTGTTGATATGAGCCCTGCAATGTGATATGACAGGAGGGGCCCTTCACCTCCATGATGTTCTACCCCAAAAAATAAAGCCTCAAGTTTAATTGTGAGAAATACTGAAGCAAGTTGGACATGATACCTGACCAGATGTCAAGGTCAGGAAGATGCAGAAGGACCAAGAAACTGTCCTAGACAAGAGTTTGAGGAGATGCAACAACCAAACACAACATGGTGTCCTGAATGAGATCCGGAAAAAGACCTTCAGTGGAAATACAGGGAAATTACAATCAAGCCCCCAGCTTTGTCAATAGCATTGTGGATAAATGCACCATGGCCATATGAGACATCTGAGTTATCAGTTTGCTACCTAGGCTGGAAGCCTTTCTGGCTCTATTCAGTCTCTCTCCAAGCAAAGCCCGACTCATCCCTACATTTCTAGAGATGGATCAAGTCTGCTCACCCCACATAAGCTCTGGGAACTGGGACTTGGTGTGCCCTCCTTTCCCTCCCCAGACACATTTCAAGAAGAGCCACCCATGGCTCTGGTCCTGTCTTGGGGCTGCCAATTCAGGCAGCTCACTGCTGATGGGCAGGCCTGGATACCCACAGCACAGGGATGTGCCTGGAAGATCTGCTCAGTTTCAGACTTCCCCTTACTAGGATTTCAGAGTCCAGCTCTGTACTCTCAGTTCTCTCTTCCATAAGGGGCAGGGAAATATTGCTAAGCAGCTGACTTGCAATAAAAGTAGTGATTCTTGTTGAAGATCCACACACATTATCCACACACTTCTTCCACCAAAGGCTAAATTAAGTACTCTTGGGGAGCTGGAAAAAAGTACAGTAAGCATTCCTATAAAAGGAACACAGGCAACTTATTACCTAGAAAAATCTACTCCAGATAGAATGCAAAGACCTGTCAGAGAGACTGGGAGTTAGGATCCACAGTGGCTTATCAAGGGGGGTGGGGTCTTGAGGTCCTTCCTTCTCCCAAGAAATAACCTCTTAGAAAAGCCCTCCATGGACCGGGCAACTCTGAGGTCCACTCCTGGAGGACAGGGAGTGGGTTTCTGAGGTCATAAAGTGGGAGTGTTGGGCAGTCATTCCAGGCACCACCAACTTATTACCTGTGTAACTGTGAGCATGTCAGCTCCCCTCCCCATTTTCATCTCTCGGTGTCCCTCTCTACAAAAAGGAAATAAATCCTAGTATCCCTTGTGACCACATACCACGTGCACAGAGCTTGGCTACATGCCTCAGAAATTTCTTCCTAAATGTTTCCAAGTTCAAGTTGGTCCCAGGGACATCTGTTTGACAAGAGGGAAGTAAAAGGGGAACAGCAGCCATCAATCCCTGAAGGGCATGAGGGCCTCCAGTCACTGCTGCAGCTCAGGTTTGTGCTGATGGCAGGATCACCTGGGAGGGCAGCAGCCAGCCCACTGGCAGCTTCACAGCAAGAGCTCCCAGCTTCTTCTGCAAGTTATCTGGCTTAGAAGCTGAGAGAGTAAAGGTCAGGTTCGGTTCTAGGCTGGCTTTCCCAGCACCAGTTTGTGCTTGCCCACTCACTGCACACCCAAGTCCTTCCTGACCACCAGCCTGCTGATTTCAGGCCCAACTTCATCCTCAGGAGAGTTGGCAGCCTTGTAGGGACTACTCACCAGCAACTGCCACCATATAAAGTCTCATTCCTGCTGCAAGTGCTTTATTCTGTATCACTTTTAGTAGTCTCCCTTCTCTGCTCGAACCCTGACATAGCCTTCAAAGGGCTATTTCAAAGGACCTCATGCCTGGCACAGAGTGAGAGTCATATAAGTATTTGAAAGCTAAAAATGTGGACAGACAATATGAAAAAGGCAGGTTTTCCTGTCTATAGATTATTTCTACCAACAACCCTCTGCTCCCAGGACTGGCCCTGAAGGAACAACTGCTTTCCCCTCTGGGGAAATATGGCTCACCACTGCTGAACTAATATGTCTTTGAAAAAAATAAACTCTGCAGCAGAACCCAAGGAGGGCCTGACACGTGTATACCTGCCAAAGTCCTTCTCCCCAAACCAGCTTTCAAATTTCTAGCAGTTCTGTGGTATTGGGGAAGGCCAAAAATGGCTATAGTTACATTCCCTCACCAAGACATTTGGTGGGTTATGTTATGTTTTTAGTGTGTAGCCAGGGCTGGTAACGACTATGTTATGGTTAGTAAAGGCCAGAAACACTGTGATTCAGATACACACTCAAGTCAGAAACACTGACTTGTGAGCATGTGCCCCTTATGTAACCCATTGGCAGTGTGCCTTCTTTGTTTGGCCTGCATAATAAAATGGGCCTACGGAAAAGACTTGGGGGGCAAGAGGGGCTAAAAATGGAACTGGCTGGGGGCTAGTTAATAGCCATGGCTACCAATGAATAAAGCATGTCCTCTATCCTAACTATGTCTTGCATCTTCTTGCACCTGCCAGTCTTCCACCTGAAATCTGTTTCCTGGTTCAGAGCCACTAATCCCCATCCCACGGCTTGTGGTTTCCATACCCAGAGCCCGAGGAATCTTCTCAGGGGAAAGTGCTCTTCTCTCCATCCTGCAGCCTCACTGAATACTAATTAGCATGAGCATAATGCCAAGGAGACAGAACCACTAGCCTGATCCAGACACCAGCCCATTAGGGATCCATAGGTTGAAACCCTAGCTCTTAGTGTGGTGGTTTTTGGAGATGGGGCCATTGAGGAGGTAATTAGGGTTAAATTAGATCATGAGGGTTGGCCCCAAATAATGGGATTAGTGTCCTTATAAAAAGAAAACAGATGAAATCTTCCTTCCCTACCCACACATGGGAAAGACCAAGTGTAACCCGAAGATCCCCCACCAGTTACTGACTGTGCTACCATCATGATCTTGAACTTTGAGTCTCCAGAATTGTAAGGAATAAATTCCTCTCATTTAAGCCACCCAGTTGATGACATTTTGTTATGGAAGCACAAGTCAAGACAGTCTTCAAATTTAAAAAAAGAAGGCATTTCTGAGAAGATGCCTTCCTGAATGCCAGAAGCCAGAGCAGGCACGACAAATGGTGAGGACCTGTAGCCTGTGCAGGAATGCACTGCTGGTGATTCTTGCAAAGGACAGCCATGACTGTCATCTCAATTCTCACAGCTGGGCTGTTGGGCACCTGACAGGATGCAAAAACAGACACCAGAAGGTAAATGACTTGCCCAGGATCACTCAGCTGGTGGCTGGACCTGGAAGTACATCCTGTACCAGGATGCTTCATTTATAGCCTCATAATCACCCTGCCTGTCCCTGAACTATGGACTCCATGAAAACATGGACACCCATTTCCGCATATGCATTTGGTTCCCACTGTTACCAGTGCCTAGCTTCTATAATTTCTCACACTTGAATCTTCACTAACCAATGGAAGATTAAGACAAAAATGTTTATGGAAATTAGCCACCCATTCTTAATGTATAAAGCATTCACAGTAGTTCATAAGAAAAAGACCAATGAAATAACATAAAGCAGAAAACACACATGGGCAAAAGACGATTTAACTAGGCACAGTGATACACACCTGTAATCCCAGCAGCGTGGGAGGCTGAGACAGGAGGATCACGAGTACAAAGACAGCCTCAACAAAAGCGAGGCACTAGCAACTCAGTGAGACCCTGTCACTAAATAAAATACAAAAAAAGGGCTGGAAATATGGCTCAGTGGTTTTGTGGCCCCCAGTTCAATACTCAGTACCGCCCACCCCCCTAAAAAGACAATTTAAATTAATATGAATTTTGAACATATGAAAGATGTTGAAACTCACTTATAAAAGCAATGAAAAAATCAAAACTACAATAAGATATCATTTTTTACCTAAACAA